TGCAGTGGTGTGGATCAGAAGCACAGAAAATGAAGCATACTCAAAAGTGTGCAAAGAAGCGTAAAGAGGTGCACGCTTGGAATTTATTTGCAATCATAATCCCAGAGGTTACCTTAATCTATCTGAGTGAGCATCAGACATAAACACCAACTGCTCGATTTTTAAATAGGCAATACAGCAAAATAGTTCACTCGGTTACAGATTCTACAGAGTTTATATCAAATCTTCTGGATCGCAGCAGTGGCAGCACCCTCACTCCATGCCACTAAAATACAAATGAAGCCGAGAGAGATGGAAGCGAGAGTCTGGACTGCTACCGACGTCAAAAATAAAACATCTCCAACCGCCCCCGGGTTTCAACCTTCGTGCGCCGCCAATAATCGACCAACAACCGAATCGGGACCAGGCATGGCCGATGCGGCAAGGCTGGCATGGCCCGGTTTTATTCATTCGGGTTTTAATCGTTTTTTATGTAAAACTGGAGCACCTGGATCCTGCCCAAATCCGGTTTTATTAAAGTTAAGTCGGGATTTCAGTCGCACGCACCCATTAGCTTTCAGCTCCTGGCCAAGCGGAGGAAGACCCCGCTAGAGTGGTGGCTGACCGACGGCAGCGACTATTCCGTGCTCCAGAAGATCGCCATCAAACTGTTCAGCATGGCCACGTCGACCGCTGCGTCTGAGCGAAACTTCTCGACGATGCGATTTATTCATTCCAAGTTGAGGAACAGCCTAGCACCCAACACAGTCGAGAAGCTCGTCTTCATTAAGTCGAACCCCAACGCGTTCTACGACTACCCGACGGCCGACGACGGCGACAACGCCGAGTCCAGCGGCGAGAGCGATGACGAAGACGACGCAGCGGCGGACGGCGACGAGGAGCAGGATTGAAGTGTGCACGAGACGCCGATAATAAAACCAGGTTTTAATCAGCAAAATCGGGTTTAATTCCATTAAAACCAATAACCCGATTTGTCCGGCAAAAAAATCGGGTTTTTCCCACCCTTGCGATGCGGCCACCTGATGCCGCAAATGGCGCGTCGAAGATTCTGCAGGGCCCGCGAGTGCGTGGCCACGAATCCCAAACCATCGACCGGCATCGTAACCACTATCCGCCGCTGTCCTTCAGCCCCCTTAAAGGAGGGGAACGGACGATTGATCCACTGCTTGCTTCTCGAACAAACAATTGAGTGGATAACAAAATCCAAAATGACATCTTTGATCCGCCGTCATTAATCCATGCGAAAGAAGAAGAAGAAGAAGATTCCGATCCAAGCAGAAGGGCCTCCACTAGGAGAGGAAGCCTTCGAATGCCCCCACTCCGTGGGTCTCTGTTGTGTACTCTTCCATCCTGTCCACATGTCTTCAAAAAGGGGGGGGGGGGGGGGGTGGAATCCGCCGCCCACACTTTACCTCACCACACGGGACTTGACCGAGGTTGCACGACACCCATTCTATGTCGCTGGGTGGACAGAGGCAGCGTCGGCGACTTGAAGAAACTCGTGCCGTCGTTTCGTCCGCCGTGCCGGGCAGATGTTATCAATGCGCCCCCCCCCCCCCCCCACCCCTCTGGATTGCAAGTTAAATGCGCCGACCATCACAGCACTTGAAAACGTCCCTCTTCATTCCTGCAAACGCCTTTTTGTCGGGTCAATATTTACGGGCACAATATTTGACAACAATGGCCGCTTTTTTTTACATCAAAGCCAGTCGAGTCAATACCCAAGTTGTTTTTAATCGCTGAATTCCGTGTTGCCTCTTTCCTCCGCTGTCCCTCGCCTGCCATCGCGAGTCACGAGTCCAAACCCGGGTAGAGGTCAGCTCAGCAATTCACATCTCTCGGCTCGACAACCACAGCACCACTTTGTGAGGATCCATCGGCGGGTTGTCTCGTCAATGCACTCGTTCCTGCCGTGGGAATGTGTAATTTTGCTTAGATGAAATTGTATACTTGTTGTCAAATTGTAATTCCTATGGGCTGTCATAACTTTCATAAATAATCGTAGCGGTTATCATTATGATGTGACAATAATTAATAATATGAAACATGCGTTTCTTATTATATTATTTGGCTGCTATAAATTTCCACATCTTAAGCCACTGTGTTGAGCTATCATTTCTGACCAGGTCACTTCGGAAAAAGAAGCTAATAGCTCATTGGGTTTTACTTGATAAAAATAAAGTTAATTGAGTTTCATTTGTATTTTTAGAAGTGATTTTCTTACGTTTCCTATACTTTGCACTCCTATATATGTAACGTTCTGACCTGCCCCTACTGGACATCCGTGACAAAGAGCTTTATAGCTCATCGGATTCCTCAAGTAAATATTCTGATGATGATTCTGATACGTCGGTCTTATCAGTTGTTAATTTGTCGTGCAGTTCACTGACCGCTGCACTCCTTCTCCACGTCCACAAAGTTAAAAGTGTAACTGACACACAGGGTAAAGGTGCAGCCCGGAAATTGCCGTTCTTGCTCATGTCACCCGCTGGCGGAAAGCCAAATACTCGGGAGAGCTCCAATGATCCCCCGTGCATGGCGCACTTTGGCCTACTCTTCTACGCTTGCCAGACATTCTTGGAAGAGGTTGGAGTACCCGCAATTTAACCCCCCACCGCACCCAACCTTCCTGCTAATTGACTAACCGTGGTGTACCCATTCATATCGGCTCCTTGGCCCGAGGTGAGGGGGGGGGGGGTGTGGAGATTTTACAAAACTCGCGCCGTTAGATGGAATCGAACTGGCGGACGCCCGAGCTCAGAGTCCAGAGTCCATGCAAATACTGGAAAAGAGAGAAGGTTTATAATTGTGTTAACACATTTTCCAAATCAAGCCAAGACATTCTTTCAATTCTCACAACCTTGAGGCAATGGGGACGAATTTGTCATGGTCTCGCGCGGTTATTTGCGTACAGTAATTCCCTTTTTATGAACTTGTTGTCCACGATTTTGGCACTCCGCGAATTACATCTTGAACTTTACACGACTGCATTGAGAGAGAAAGTGACGGGAAAGAAAGTGATGAAACCTACGTAATTTTGAGAGAGATGCGTAATTCTCATGTCATGGCTTATTTAGGTATTTATTTTAGGTTATTCGTAAAAAAAAAATCGTAGGCCAATATCATTATTCGAAATTTGCTAGTCACAATTATCTCCGGAACGTAGCCCTTGTCGCGAATAATGAGGGAATATTTTAAATATGTAAACTATGCCCATTATTGCTATGTAGCGATGGAAGAGTATTTCATGGTTATGAAGAGGTGAAGGGTGCAGTCTTATAACTGCTGGCGGCTAAGCCTCCACTAGGAGGGCGGTGTGGTGGCGAGACGTTAACTCCCTCGCCTGATATACAAGAGGGCGTTGGTTCGATCCTGAACCTGACGCCTGCTGCTGTATATTTGTAGTTTGCGTGTTATCTCTCTCTCTCCCCCCTGGTCACGTGGAATTTTCTACGGGTCCTCCAGTTTTTCCCTCCACATTTAGAATCGACACGCGTTTTGAATATTTGGCTGCCATAAGTTTCCACATCATAAGCCACTTCACATCGGGCTATCAATTTTGACCACGTGCTTTTGAAAAAACAAAACGATGTGGCTCAGGCGCTAAGTTTAAAAAAAATAGTTTTAGGGAGTGAAGCCTGGACGGTACTTGGTCTACTCTCTCATGCTGACCAGGCGTGGCGTTGGAAGAGACAGGGAGAACCCATACTTGATCCTACCTCGCGCAGCATGCCGATCTTCGATCTACGTTATCCCAACATATCAGAATCAGAATATTTATTGACACTGCAGGAGGAATCCGATGAGTTATGAAGCTCTTTTTCACAGACGTCCAGTAGGGGCCGGTCGGCAAGTTACAGAAAAAAAGTAAAAAAAAACATGATATGAGTGAAAAGTATAGGAGAGATAAGCAATTCACTAAATTTGTTTGATTTTATTTAACTAGGTGAAGCTCAATGAGCTATCAGCTTCTTTTTCAAAAGTGACCTGGCCACAAATTATAGCTCGAAGTGGCTTATCATGTGGACATTTATAGCAGCCAAATATAATTCTCGGTGGACTAATTTAAGAAATATTCTTTGGGTCTTTCGGTAAAGCCACTTAAATAGAAAAATTATATTATTTTTCTATCTACGTGGCTTTATGAATTCCTGCAGTCACGAAAGCTTTAAGTCAAGATTTGATTTAAGAATCGTGTCTACTGTCAAGCCAGAAGATGGAATTGAAGAGGCAACCTCCGAATTGCAATGATGTCAATTATGCGAACGATTACTTCACACTCACCATTATTTTTCATTACCTATCACATAATTTGCCGTTGAACTAGGACCCATATCTTGCCTGTAACATCTGGCAGTTCAACAGCATCGGTTCAAGTTAGCCGGAATCTGCTGTTGAGACAATGGATGTCGAAACGCGTCCACAGCTTGTTTCATATTGAACCCATGCTGATGAAATGACACACTCCGACAAATTACTATTTACCTTTCTCGTGTGGTTGACGAGTGGGGTTAACAGTACCTTTTTTTCACATAACAGGACACATATATGAAGGTGCTATATATTTGTCTAATTATTTATTGTACAGCCGGTGCGCTAACTGCTACAGGTGGTTGGGCTGAATGTAGAGCCGGGTGCCATCGGCGTAGAAGCGACGCGCTGGCATTAAAACCTTGCGATGATTTTGAGCAGGGGGTCACAACAGTGAAACGTTGTGGGAAAGTCACAGTTCCTTGAAGGTACCCACAATGCAGTTTCTTCAGGAATTGGTGGTTTTTGCAAAAATGCTTAAAGGCTGAGAGTTTTATTTTTGTGAAAGTGGTGCACGCTTATTTTTTTGTTGCGTGTGGTTGAACATCACTTTGGTTCTCAACGCAGTCGAATATCGATACAACTTCAGACATTTCTGAGTCCGTGCCTGGGGATTTCTGTGTTTTGTTTTACTCGGCTGAACGAAAGAGTTTCTGAAAAATAAATGCCGAACGACGCTCTGTAAAACTTGAAAACACATCAGCTGAGGTTAATTTATTCAACAAATACGCAATAGGCTGCATCCTATTACCTACTTATCATTGGACATTCAGTAACTTGTGTCATTATGACCACACCTGCTTCAGAACATGTTTTAAAAAAAAATACATTAAATAATCTCTGCCCTTTGTCTTTGCAGTGGGAATATAGCCCCGTATACCACCCACCGCCGTACTTAAAATACATCGACGTGAAAAATTACACGACGAGCATCCCAACCACAGCCGATCCGGTCCATACAGAAATTCAATCCCTCCAGGAGGTGCTAGCGTGGCCTTCGCCTCAAACGAATTACACCTTTGCCACGTCCACGAGCGCAGTGAACAGCTTCTTCAAGGTTTTAAACAAGGGAAAGCTCCACGTGGGCGACACCCTCCGAATTGCCATCCACGCCATGGACCACAACAACGACAGCAAGAGGTATGGCGGCGACTACTTCCGATTCAAAATCTACTCCAGCAAGCTGAAAGCGGGCGCCTTCGGCTCTGTCCGCGACCTCGAGAACGGGCAGTACGCGGGGAACGTCACCCTGTTCTGGGCCGGCGATGTCCAGATCGACGTCAAGCTCATCCACTCGAGCGAGACGGTGGAGCTGCTGAGGAGGCTGCGCGACTCCGCGCCAGACAAGGTGTACTTCTACGGCTACTTCGAGCAGAGCGGGGCGGCGAGCGAGAGGACCGTGTGTAACATGTTCAAGCCGGCGGACGGCAACATGGAGACCTGCGAGTATCCCGATCGGGCGACGGGGGAGGTGTGGTTCTGCGTGAAGCCCAAAATCCTGTCGTGCGAAAGCCTTCGCTATCACTCCATGGGAAGTATCAAAACGGTGACAACAAACAAAGACTCGCCCTTCCTCAGCGCGTAAGAGAATTGCACAAAATACTGTCGGTTTCTCGGATAAAGGGGGTTCGCGCGTATTCAGTTGTTTGACACCGATGTCTCTTTTCCACTGCAAAAGCGAGCCGTGCCGGGGCCGTGCTGAGCCAATCGGGCGTAGTTCAGGAGGCACCAGGATTGTTTTACCACTGGAGCACCCGAGCCGTGCCACTGACGACACACCCAGTGCGAGAGTCGAGACACGTGGAGATGATGCGGTTATGCCACATCCTAGCTCTGTACCGACAGACGTCACACCCAGGGAACGAATCGGGAATCAGGGTTTCAGCTACCGGTGATAAAAGTTGGTTCTTATGTTTAGAGAGTTGTTAAACGCAGCCTGGTCACCTATAACTAAGGCAAGCACAGCTGACGAACTGGAGTTTTGTCATCTCAAGCCATTTTTTCTTAAAATCATTGGATAAATCACGTGATTGCGAAATAAAAGTGAGGTGTGCAGCTCATATCCTGGGATCCAAACGCGGGGTTCAGCTGTCGGTGAATAAGCCGAGCTCTCAAATCTTGCGAATTGGTGACGACAGCTTCGTCGCCAAAAACTGCCTTCACAGACTGTTGGGGCGAGTGCTGTTAGCGAGCACCTATGAAGGCCGGCACGGCACACGAGGGGGTGAGTGGCCAGCACCACGCCCGGCCGCCTTTGTCTCCCTAGTGGCGATGTTTACATACCGCACCAGGTACTCATTCGAGGCTGAGTCGACCTAAGGGAGGCCCAAAACCAGTTCAGATAATCGTCACCGGCGTTGGTGGCCGTGAGCGGGAATCGAACTCGGGTGGCCGGGTTCAGAGAGCAGCGCGTTTTACCGCTACACTACAGCTCGCCCAGCAGTCGCCAAAAAACTGCACACACAAAACAATAATACAGGTTTGGTGGTTGTCGCTTCATTTGACAATATTTTAGTTCTGAGATTTTTGTCTTGTTTAGACTGCCACGTGTAAAAAAAGAAAAACACGCGAACAGACACACACACCTGCACACACTTTGCATAGGCGTATAAGAGGCCCTATTTAAGAGGTTAAGACACACCCCTCATTCGCTCTGGGGCGTTGTCACCCTTTTGGGCACTGGTCTCAAGAAGGAGCTGGGTTTCCCAGTGACTGAAAACACGCCTCGGGCCTTGGTTGTCTATTTATTCAAGAAAGAAGTTGATCGATAATGACAGGCCCTTACGATAGGAGGGTATAAAGTTGCTGATTTTGCCTTTTCTTTTGTGTTTTAAACTTTTTTTCTTCTTCTTCCCATTCTGTACATTTAGAAAAGTTACCAACGTGAATATTAGGGGAATTCCAAGTAACACCAATGTTCTTCCTTTGGAGAATTCAACATTCAATCCAGGTAATGTTTGAAATGTTCTATATAATTTTTACTTAATTCATACAAATGCAATGCACACGCACACATTATCAAAAAAAGCCCACACTTCAAATCTGCAGTGTCTTTCCCCGGGTCAACTTGTTCCACAGCTATGAATGTAATTCTCAAACTTGCTACGTGCAAGGCATCTACTGAATGTTGCTGCCCATACAGCCTATACATATTATCTTCCGTGCCTGGTACGGAGGAGGTCGTGGGTTCGTTCCCGACCCTAACGCCTGCGGTATATTTGGAGTTTGCGTGTCTCTCCCCGCAGTTACGTGGATTTTTCTCCGGGTCCTCCGGTTTTTCCCTCCACATTTGAAAATCAACGCGCGTTCAGAGTGTTTGGCTGCCATAAATTTCCACGTGATGATAAGCCACTTCGTTGAGCTATCATCGTGGGTTTCATCCTGACTCTGACGTCTGTATATTTAGAGTTTGCATGTTGTCACCTCTGTTTTTTTTTTCCCTCCACATTTCCAAACGTGCGTTTGGAGTATTTGGCTGCCATAAATTTCCACGTGACGATAAGCCACTTCGTTTGGGCCTCACTTGTGGATGTGTAGGCCTTTACTTTAACATCTATTTCTGTGACCAGTCACAAGCTAATCCCTCAGCTATTTGATATGTAAACCCCTTTTTCAAGGTGCCTCACTTTAAAAGTCGCTACGAATCTTAACATCGTTCATTGAAGCTCTGTCGTCCCGACAGGTCTGTACCTTTCACCTGAAGACGGCCGCTTGCGTTGTGGCCGAAACGTCGTGAGAATTTTGTGTGTGTTATTTTATTATTTTATTCTCATTCTACGTGACTTTACCGAAAGAACCAAAGAAGAAAAACAAATGAATGTTAACAAAGGCATATTATGTCAGGTTCCTTACTATCATTCACAGCCCCGAAAATGCCACCCAAGATTGCGGGCACACCTTATTCACTCAGAAGGCACCGCGCCCCATGTTGCTCTCCCCTCCCGCGAGGAACGCTCACGGAGTGCACGCACGCGAACATGTCGCTCACGGATTTCAAACGCAAATTGTACAACATCATTAAGAGCCCTTGGTGATAGAACGATAGAACGGGATCGCTGGGATTTCACGCTGGCCCTCGCGGCAGCACCCACCTCCCACCTCCCCCCCCGCCATCCCGAGTGCCGATTTATTGAGATTTATAAATGATGAGGTGACTTTCGTGGAAATGTGTCGATGTAAAAGGGAGAGAAACTCAGACGCCGCTCACGATGGGCAGCAGCAGTGCATCTGACGAGTGTGGCCTCGTCGGTTCCACAATGCGCTCCACAACTTTCGGACGGTTTTTGTTTAAAGAAAGGGGCCCTCTTTGCAAGGCAATTTAACCGGAGTGAGATGTGATGAACGCATTCACGCTTTGACAGACGCATACCGGATAGGCGTTCTTGAACACGGCGGAGCCGAGAACTGGCTGCGTGTGGTGCTGTGCGACTTTGAGATTTAAGAGAGGGTTGTTTATCGCCATGGTAAATAGCAAAACGAAGCACGCACCAGCTAAGCAATGCGTGGTGTGCGAAGGCATGCAAATGTGAAGTGCTCGAGGTGTATTCCTCGTGAACATTCGTGGTCGGGGACGCTCCCACACGTAGCATTCCTCGTCTCTCTCGCCTGCCACCGCGCGGCTCCGCTCTCTGCTCTCTCCACTATCGCCCATCCTCTTTTCACTTGGGCCACACTCTCCCCTACATCCATAAGTCCATCTTCCTTGACCAAGCATCGTTTTGGGAACCCTCGTCGCCACATTAACTCCCCTCTCTGCCCCCCCCACCCCTCCAGAATTCTTATGTTCCAGACAACGTCTGCTATACCACCTTTGCGACGTTTTCATCCCTGGTCTTGTATGCACTGTGCGTATGTTGAAATTCTTTCGAACCGTACGTAGGCAAGCGTGCTAATCGGAGGTGCGGTCTTGAAATCCTTAATCTGACACTTACCTCCTACAACCTTGATATGTATCACCTGCATTCCTTACATTAATACCGACATCACCTTCTATTGTTCACCTTAGACTTATCCTTTGCACCCATCAATCAACCTCTAAAATACTAAAAAAAAAATTCCACCGGGCAGTGGTGGCTGTGCACGTGGCCTGCCTGCAACCCAGCGCTGTGGAGGCAGCGGCAGCGGGGGTTGGTGGATCACCTGCGCAATTTTTGGGAAACTCCTTTCCCCATAGGCGTCGATGAGGTGCCGCCATCATCGCCTATCTCACCGGAAGCAACGTGGTACACCGGAGCACCTTTGCCATAGGCGCTTAATGTAGTAAAACAAAAAAAAAAGACCCGACAGGGATTTAAAATGACGATTTATATTGCAAGGACGTGCAACGGCCGAGGAATGGGTGACCACGGCTAAGGGTGCTTATGGGTTACGAAAGAGTAGAAGTTGGAGGGGCTAGGTGAGGGAAGAGGAATAGCATGGGCAATGGAGCTGCGGGATAGAGTGTTGCCCCGTCGCACACGCGGGTTTCCTCTGTGTGCTCTGGTTTCCTCACACGTGTAAAAACTCATTAAATGGCCGACAACACATTGATGTATAGAGGACCGCAGAGCTTGGGCAATTGTTGGCGCCAGTTTACCACGTGGCTGCTGCTGCTGCCTTCCCGCTCGTCTGGGGTTCCTCCTCGTGCCCCTGCGTCGCTCTCTCCCTACGAAAGCGCACGAAGACTGCGCGGTGTGTTACACATTGATATTATTATCATTCCTCATAACGTCAGCATCCTTGCCATGGCCGTCATCCTTATTCTTCTCCCTGCGTTACGCCTATCACGCCTGTATTCTATTCTAAAGTCATTACTATCGATTGATGCGAGGGGGTGGGGGTTCGGGGGGAGCCGTGGTGCAGCGGTTAGCGCACTGTGCGCGATAAACCCAGTTCAGTTCTGGGTTTATCGCGCAACATGAGCGGCGCGCGATGCAACATCTGAACCAGGCCTGGTCCTCCAATAACTCACGCTGACCAGTGTGGGGAAGTATGGTCATAACAGCCTCCATGGGGTGAGCGAGCCTTCATCCAGCAGTGGATCGACAAAACGGCTGTACATTTACCGCGTAGGCTTTCGAGAAAAATATTGCCCATGACGGAGGTGTTTGATGAGTAAGGTCATGTAAATGTAGACCGAAAGAGGATTTCTCCACAATTCTGGTTGTCGCCTGATGCTGCTTGCTGTAATTACCCGTGAAACGTCACGGTTCTCGAATTGTAAATGTCGTGGGTTTGTCCCTCCAACAACACTGGTGTGCTGAACTGGTAACTTAATTGGCATGTTTTGTTTGTGTGACAAACCTTACTCATTGGCTGTGTCGGTGCGGTGGCGAGTTTAAACGACACATTTATACCTATAGGCAATAAAATCCAAAAACACCTCTATTATGGCAAATTAGCCGTATGTTCACACGAATGTGTTTTATCGTTGACCTACAGGATCTGGATTGGGGTTATGCAAACCAGGACTTCCAGTTGTTACACCCAGTGGCTACTACATCAATGACAAGTGGGTTTCACTGGTCTGCAAAGCACGGGACTTCAGTCTGCCTGCAAACATGTCCGCGTGCCTAAGTGGAAAGACCGTCTACATGTATGGCGATTCCACCATGAGGCAGTGGTGGGAATATTTCACCAGCGCAATTCCAGGTACGCAATTATGTGAATGCGTGTACCTTTCACACCGTTCGTAGTCAACCGTGCGAATCGGAGGTGCGACTGGGGGTGGGGGGAAGGACAACGTTACTAAACTCGAAAAAATAAGTTCTAAAGGAATTAGTTTTCAATCGAGCTTTAAAAGTGCTCAGCTGATCCACCAGGGCTCAGTTCCTCGACCAATAATGTCTTGGTTACTGGTAGACCAGAGTCGCCGTTTATCCCGGTAGCCACAGCCCCTTGCGAGAGGCACACTCGATGCTCGGTAAATGTTGACGACACGATGATCGTCGCGAGGGACGCGACAGACGTCAGCAATGTTTGTGGTGGGTTTGCTCTCAACCGACTGCATTTGCCGAGCTTCTGAAATATACACCGGGTTGGCACGAACATTTAGATGTATAATTTGGACAAATGTCCATTTTAACTCCATTGTTAGAAATGGTGTACATTTTATTTTTATTTTGTCAAATTTTGTTCTTCTTATCAGTGAAGATCCTACGTTCGAGCCACGATAAATTTAGGACATAGCACATATTATCATAGCTATATACCTTTTAAGCAGTGCGACACTACACACGGATGATTGCTCTTGTCATTCAAAACGGTCACGATGTACACTTGGGAGCATCCGGTTAATCGTTAGCTCAAGTAATTATTGGGTTTTCTTAGCTCTTTCGGTAAAGTCACGTTGAAGGAAAACAATAAAATAATAAAATATATATAAAACAATAAAAATTCTCACGACGTTTCGACCATAACACACCTGATGATGACCGTTTGTTTATTATTGCCATTTAAGTCAAAACAAAGAAGGGACTTGTGAATGTAGATCCTCATAAAATGATTTTTACTGAGGTTCTTTGAAAGCATGTGTAGTGTTGAACACGGAGGCACACACTTGACTTTGAGGCAACACGTTTATTACACAGCGCCAACAGGGCTATTAAATAACGTAAACTCACTACACTAGACCCCAACAGGGTTACTACATAACCGGGTCAATCAGTAACATTCTCTGACTGACCCACGATTGCCGAGCGAAGACCGAAGGTCGGAGAGACGTAGCGCCGAGGGTTGATTCCAGAGAACAGCCAAGAACGCTCTCGGGACCGCCCCTTTATGCCCCTGGGCGTGGCCTCGCTCCGCCCTTGACCACGCCCCCTTCGAGACCTTTTCCGAAGGACCTCGACCGAGCATCACGTGTCCCTCAAGCCCCTCTCCCTACCCTGTCCCAGTCACGTGCCCTCTCGGGTTCACCAAGACTACTGTACCATGTCCTGACCGCCACCAGGACTATGCCCCCTAGGGCCCGTCGCATGCCGTACTCACTCTGGCCCCAGAGAGAGGTTCTAGACGCACAGTAGCACTCTTGTAACAGTGCCTGGACGCTAACACCATAGTGACACCTTTAACGTCACTACTCATGTAATCGCTGCCACACTTATCACCAAATGCAAATGATGTTCTTGTGCAGAGCAATACAAAGGATGACTTTGAATGTGATGAGCAGGAAAACAATGATGAATGAAGCTTTGACAATTAAAACTATGAGAACGGATTTTTTGTTTGTTTATCCAGTGTTGTAAATATTGTGATGAAGAAAATAATAAAATAAAATGATCGAAATAATGTGGAAATTATGTAAAATATGTAAAGAAATCGTAATTGTGTGATGTTAATATAATTAAATGTTTTTAAGTCTAATGAAGAATATGTGTGTCATGAAGTGTTATTCATAATGATTGTGATAAAAAATATATACTGATTAATATAAATGCGTATGTGATTAAGAAGTGATTATGTGTAAAGTTATCAGGAGTAATTATTATTGGCTTGCTCGTTGTCTAGGGGTATGTATAATCAATCGTAATACTGTCAATGATTCTCGCTTTAACATTTACCGATTCTCATTTAATCAAGTACATGTAATTATGTCAGGTCTCAGGATTCAGATCTCACTGCAGGATACAATTATCGCAATTAAGACAATGATGCACACGTTAGGAAAGAAGCACTCGAACCCTTCTTTAATCTAAACAACTTTAATGTCACTATAATATCAACAAAAACTATTATCATCAGAATAGCAACAACAATACGAAATATACGTACTCATCAATCCTTACTGAATTATCATAAAGCAGAAATTGTCAAATCTCACGATCACGCAGGACCTGTTTGTTGTCTGGTCACAGTTAATCACCATTGACGTATGGTGACCTGTATAGGCATGCATTTAAACAGTGTATTACTTGATCATTAGTTTCCAAGCAGCACTAAGCCTACAGCTACCAGAACAGTTAAAATTACTTTTTAGCTATCTTAATTTCGATAGATTCTCTAAATAGTTTTGGCCATTAGTAACTAGTTTTGCACAGAACTTCAACATTATCAAAATAACTGAGTGTCAATCTTGATTTTAAGCTTTCGTGACTGCAGGAATCCATACTCTTTGGTTCTTTCGGTAAAGTCACGTAGGTATAAAATAAAATAAATCACGACTTTTCGGGCGCCCGAAACGTCGTGATTTATTTTATTTTATACCTACGTGACTTTACCGAAAGAACCAAAGAGTATCAACTGAGTGTCCTTGTTGGCACGCGTGTTCTTCCACTGCCGACAGTTGTATTTGGGAGTATTTAATATTCCTTTGGTGTTATTTTAGTCTCATGCTGATCATTCGTCCTGCCTGACCAACACATCATTTGCCACAGGAGCCATTAATCCGGTACACACCTTCTGTTGATATTATGGATAATATTAGTCGTGAAAGCCTACGTGTTAAACAGAACTTTTCCAGCCTATAGCTTTGGACAATATTTCATGCACGTTCGATATTTGTGCATGACTCAAATCTCCACTTAACTTCTCACACATCTTAGCTTATCACAGTATTATTTGAAAATGCCTTCGCCCACAACAATAGCACGAGGACTGCTATATCAGGTCCATTGCCACCAGAAACTCGTTATCAACAATTTTCCTCAACCACGTAACTTATCACACCTATTAGCTTAGTAGAGTACAAATTCTCGAAGTCTGTGACTTGGCAAGCGATTCAAAATATAAAGAAACACGTAAAAGAAAACTTTCAGCGATACTTGGAGACTTCCTAAGCAAGAACTCAACTACTCAGACACTTTGCCTCTTGCAAAGTTCACTCTTAGCCAAATTACGAGCGCTATCCCCGGAGTCTGCCAATGCAGCACCGGATCGTGTGCTATTGTGTGTTGTTGTAATGGAATTTCTATCTTTTTTTCAATTATTTGCCTAAGACACTTCAAAAAGCCCAGATGCTACTCCCACTTGTATATCCCTCCATTCATTCGGTCAGTCTTAGTTTACCTCTTGTTCTGGGCTCCCTGGATACCCTGGCCCCAGGGGTTATCAGCTCGGCTTAACATCTTTCCTGATTTTATTGATGCCTTGAATAAAGGTGTCAGTTTTTTGTGCCAGTTAAAAGGGTAAAACCTATTCCTATATCTTGTTACTGGCAAAGGAGGTATCATAATGTAAATGCTCACCCCGAACCCTCAATAGTCTGATAGTGCGCTGTTTTTGAGTTGTACGCCTTTTGGCGTCTTCTGGTCCAACACCAATGGAGACTAGGCTCTAAGAAAAGCCGTCTCGGGTGTGGACCAATCAAATTCAAGGACAGTGCATATTATTATCAGAGTTGTCTTTTTTGTTTGCATTTTGACTGCTTGTGTTGTGGTTATTGCAAACATGATGCCTTGAATTTCGATTTAAAGCTTTCGTGACTGCAAGGATTCATCTTCTTTGGTTCTTTCGGTAAAGTCACGTAGAATGAGAGTAAAATAATAAATTGATAAAATAAAATAACACAATAAAATTCTCACAACGTTTCGGCCACAACACAAGCGGCCTTCATTAGGTGAAGGGACGAGACTGTCTGGAGGATAGCGCTGGAGCGAACAAAGCCACGCTCAGATCGCGAACTTTAAGCTGTGTGAGAAGAAACAAAGCGCCTAGACAAAGGAATTAGCATAGAATTTAGCATTGAAATAGCTGAGTGATTAGCTTGTGACTGGTCACAGAAATGGCTATGTTAAAGTCAAAGCATACACATCCACAGAGGCACCCCTTGACAAAGAAATTAGCATAGAATTTAGCATTGAAATAGCTGAGTGATTAGCTTGTGACTGGTCACAGAAATGGCTGTTAAAGTCAAAGCATACACATTCACAGAGGCACCTAGCACAAATCAAACAGGAGAATTTAGCATTGAAATAACTAGAATTTAGCATTGAAATAACTGATTGATTAGCTTGTGACTGGTTACAGAAATGGCTATGTTAAAGTCAAAGCCTACACATCTGAGCTATTCACAGTAACTGGGTATACACTACACTATATAATGATACTATATAGTAAACCAATAATAAACTAAAATATAAATTACCTCAATGTTATCAATAAACTATATATATTCTCCAATCAGCTAAGCTACCAACAATCAGTCGTTATATATCACAATGATATATGGCGAAAAAATGGGTGGATTCTTACCCTCAACTTTAGCACCACGGATAGCTACCAGCCCCGTTCAGACGGACGAGTTCATCCATGGTCGGAACGGAGGAGGGGGAGAGAGACAGCTGCGAGGCGCTGTTATACTCCATGTTGTAAACCATACCATTAACCGTGGTGTGAGAGGTATTAAGAGTCAATGCCAGCGAAAAAGCTGCGGTCTGAAGGTCATCGTAATATACAATTAATTAAGAACGGAAATGGTTTAAAACATCTTTCCAATGGTTACAAGCTATTCACTCAGCAATTTCAATGCTAAATTCTATGCTAATTCCTTTGTCAAGGGGTGCCTCTGTGGATGTGTATGCTTTGACTTTAACATAGCCATTTCTGTGACCAGTCACAAGCTAATCACTCAGCTATTTCAATGCTAAATTATATGCTAATCCCTTTGTCAAGGCGCTTTGTTTCTTCTCACACAGCTTAAAGGTCGCGATCTGAGCGTAGCTTTGTTCGCTCCAGCGCTGTCCTCCAGACAGTCTCGTCCCTTCACCTGATGAAGGCCGCTTGTGTTGTGGCCGAAACGTCGTGAGAATTTTATTGTTATTTTATTTTATCAATTTATTATTTTACTCTCATTCTACGTGATGTTACCGAAAGAACCAAAGAAGATGATGCCTTGAATAAAGGTGTCAGTTTTTTGTGCCAGTTAAAAGGGTAAAACCTATTCCTATATCTTTCCTGATGATGAGAATCCCAATATACCTAGTTGCCCCTGGCGATGCCTTTTGACTCGTAGAAGCTGACCCCCCCTGCCCCCCCCAATGTGGTGTGTTTGTGTGTGTGTGTGGCTGTGGCCCATTCTTTGGGGTAAAACCGCCTGCCTCACTCTCTTGGTTTTATCACTTTATCATCACTTTGTTTATCATCACTGTGTTTATCATCACTGTGTTTATCATCACTTTGTTAATCATCACTTTGTTTATAATCACTGTGTTTATCATCACTTTGTTTATCATCACTTTGTTTATCATCACTGTGTTTATCATCACTTTGTTTATCATCACTGTGTTTATCATCACTTTGTTTATCATCACTTTGTTTATCATCACTGTGTTTATCATCACTTTGTTTATCATCACTTTGTTAATCATCACTTTGTTTATCATCATTGTGTTTATCATCACTTTGTTTATCATCACTGTGTTTATCATCACTTTGTTTATCATCACTTTGTTTATCATCACTTTGTTTATCATCACTTTGTTTATCATCACTTTGTTTATCATGAGTGTTTATCATCACTTTGTTTATCACTTTGTTTATCATCACTGTGTTTATCATCACTTTGTTTATCATCATTGTGTTTATCATCATTGTGTTTATCATTACTTTGTTGTTCATCACTTTGTTTATCATCGCTTTGTTTATCATCACTGTTTATCATTACTTTGTTTATCATCACTTTGTTTATCATCACTGTGTTTATCATCACTTTGTTAATCATCACTTTGTTTATCATCACTTTGTTTATCATCACTGTGTTTATCATCACTTTGTTTAACATCACTGTGTTTATCATCACTTTGTTAATCATCACTGTGTTTATCATCACTTTGTTTATCATCACTTTGTTTATCATCACTTTGTTTATCATCACTGTGTTTATCATCAATTTGTTAATCATCACTTTGTTTATCATCACTGTGTTTATCATCACTTTGTTTATCATCACTGTGTTTATCATCACTTTGTTTATCATCACTTTGTTTATAATCACTGTGTTTATCATCACTTTGTTTATAATCACTGTGTTTATCATCACTGTGTTTATCATCACTTTGTTTATCATCACTTTGTTTATCATCACTGTGTTTATCATCACTTTGTTTATCATCACTTTGTTTATCATCACTGTGTTTATCATCACTTTGTTTATCATCACTTTGTTAATCATCACTTTGTTTATCATCATTGTGTTTATCATCACTTTGTTTATCATCACTTTGTTTATCATCACTTTGTTTATCATCACTTTGTTTATCATCACTTTGTTAATCATCACTGTGTTTATCATCACTTTGTTTATCATCACTGTGTTTATCATCACTTTGTTTATCATCATTGTGTTTATCATCACTTTGTTAATCATCACTTTGTTTATCATCGCTTTGTTTATCACTGTGTTTATCATCACTTTGTTTATTATCACTTTGTTTATCATCACTGTGTTTATCATCACTTTGTTTATCATCACTTTGTTTATCATCACTGTGTTTATCATCACTTTGTTTATCATCACTTTGTTTATAATCACTGTGTTTATCATCACTTTGTTTATCATCACTTTGTTTATCATCACTTTGTTTATAATCACTGTGTTTATCATCACTGTGTTTATCATCACTTTGTTTATCATTACTTTGTTTATCATCACTGTGTTTATCATCACTTTGTTTATCATCACTTTGTTTATCATCACTTTGTTTATCATCACTGTGTTTATCATCACTTTGTTTATCATCACTTTGTTTATAATCACTGTGTTTATCATCACTTTGTTTATCATCACTTTGTTTATCATCACTTTGTTTATCATCACTTTGTTTATCATCACTTTGTTTATCATCACTTTGTTTATCATCATTGTGTTTATCATCACTTTGTTTATCATCACTTTGTTTATCATCACTTTGTTTATCATCACTTTGTTAATCATCACTGTGTTTATCATCACTTTGTTTATCATCACTGTGTTTATCATCACTTTGTTTATCATCAGTGTTTATCATCACTTTGTTAATCATCACTTTGTTTATCATCGCTTTGTTTATCACTGTGTTTATCATCACTTTGTTTATCATCACTTTGTTTATCATCACTTTGTTTATCATCACTGTGTTTATCATCACTTTGTTTATCATCACTTTGTTTATCATCACTGTGTTTATCATCACTTTGTTTATCATCACTTTGTTTATAATCACTGTGTTTATCATCACTTTGTTTATCATCACTTTGTTTATCATCACTTTGTTTATAATCACTGTGTTTATCATCACTGTGTTTATCATCACTTTGTTTATCATTACTTTGTTTATCATCACTTTGTTTATCATCACTTTGTTTATCATCACTGTGTTTATCATCACTTTGTTTATCATCACTTTGTTAATCATCACTTTGTTTATCATCACTTTGTTTATCATCACTTTGTTTATCATCACTGTGTTTATCATTACTTTGTTAATCATCACTGTGTTTATCATCACTGTGTTTATCATCACTTTGTTTATCATCACTGTGTTTATCATCACTTTGTTTATCACTTTGTTTATCATCACTGTGTTTATCATCACTTTGTTAATCATCACTGTGTTTATCGTCACTGTGTTTATCTGTTTGTTGTTTATCATCACTGTGTTTATCTGTTTGTTGTTTATCATCACTGTGTTTATCTGTTTGTTGTTTATCTTTTTGACCCCTCTCCTACTGAGTTTGGTTCGCCAAGTTCGATTCCCCCTCAATCAATACAGTGGCGGTTATCTGCTCTGATATAACACGATGTAACACAATTTTTGATCCTGGGTACTCAGTGTTATTTTTTATTGCTTATGCCTAAAAAGTACAGAAAATGGCTCTGATTCCCCACAAACTTTGCTTTTGTGACCAGGACTTTACGTGAAGGAATGACACAAATGCACACCACGTTTTCTCAATGAAAATAGCTACATTTTTAAATATCAATGTATTGGTCACAAAAGCAAAGTTTGCGGAGATTAATAGCCACTTTCTGTACTTTTCAGACATAAGCAATTAGGAAATAATACCTACTATCCAGGACCAAAAACAAATGTTTGTTATACAGTGTTAGGATTCCCCCTTGAGGTCGACTCAGCCTTAATATAAATACTTGCTGCAGTATGCAATGATAGATACTGGGAGACAAAGGCGTCTAGGCACGGCTTTGGTTATACCCATTACATACATTATGTTGATCGCATAGAATTGACAATTATAATATATTTCTAACAATACCTATTGTCCTGAATGATCCTTATGTTCGAGCTTCAACCCGAGCTTCCATCATTTCATCATCATTAAGGTCCACGTGCTTAGCCCAGACCTTATGGCAATTATGTACGGATAATAGTGATTGTTAATAAGAATATGCAAAATAGTCATATTGAAACCTTCCAGCCCTAGGTTGTATCATCATGCAACAGTACGTCCTATCACCAAAGCTAATGTTTAATACCATGACGTTTAAGAATATTCATATGCAGTGGTTGTCATTTTAAACATTTCAACTTTCCAAACGCCAAGGCTTAGTACTAAGTTAACAGCTCGGATGACGCGTTATTTATGCCATGGGCACAGTTAAAACAGCAGAGGTATTTCCTTTGGCCTCCCTAGGGTCTTAATATATTTTCTGGGGAAAGGCATATATACACACAAAAAACAGCAGGTGAGAAATCAAGAGACCAGGTAAATAATTTACAAAGTGTAAACACTGGCATGGAGAAGGGCACTGCGGTGGCGAGATGTTAACTACCTCGCTTGGTATACAGGAGGTCGTGGGTACGATCCGATGCCTGGATATTTAAAGTTTGAATATTCTCTGTGGTCGCGTGGATTTTTCTCCGGGTCCTCTGGTTTTCGCCTCTACATTTAGAAACATGCTTTTGTAAGTATTGGGCTGCTGAACATTTCCACGTTTGCCACTTACTTCATTGGGCTATCACTTGTGGCCAGGTCCCTTCTGAAAAAGAGCTTCATAGCTCAGTGGGCCTTACCTGGTAAAATTCAAAAACAGGAAAATAATTGAGGACATCGGATGACAGATGGGCAAGATTACCAGTGGACTGCAGGCCGATAGGGCTCATATGGCGGGATGACTGTGGAAGATTTGCAGGAGCGTCCATATGCCTCTCCATGCTTCTCTCTCCACTTTTTCATTGTCGAAATCCCATGCGTGCGTATGATCCATACATCATAGCAGATAATGCAGAGCGATTAAAAAAAACGTTCCTATTTAAGTGCATCGCTACGTTGCCGTTCTTTTCCGAGCTGTCGTGCCATTTTTTTTCCTCCCCTTGCCTTTGCGAAGGCATGCAGATCATCGACGTGCATTCGCCAAAACAAATGGGTCCTCTCCTGGCCACGGGGATGGGCGGCAAGACATTCCTGTCCTATCGCTGTCACGGCTTCCCGCTGCGGTCCCAGAAAGGATCCTTCGCCGCCATGCACTACATCGCCAACGAGCTCGATGGTATTCCTGGTGAGTGATTGGCACGTCGAAGCAGGAATGCCGCTGTAGTGCAACGGACGGCACACCGGACTCTCAATGCAGCATTACCATCCCATGACCATCTCAGTCCCATGCCTAGGACAGGAAAACCCTGATTAACCAATTTGTTTTGAAGCCCTGCCCCTTTCTCTTATGACTGCACCACCGATTATCATGATTGGTTACAGACGATGCGGTGGCGAGATGTTAACTACCTCACCTTCTATATAGGTCGTGGGTTCGATCCAGGCCCTGATGCCTGTATATCTGGAGTTTGCATTTTCTGCCTGCGGCCGTGTGGGTTTTTCTCCGGTTCTTGTTTTTTCCCTCCACATTTAGAAACAACATTCGTTTAGAGTATTTGGCTGCTCTACATTTCCACACGATGATAAGCCACTTCATTGGGCTACCATTTGTGATAGCCAGGTCGCTTCTGAAAAAGAGCGATATAGCGAAGTGGGCCTTACCTGGTAGAAATAAAAATGGCTTATTTTTTTGTTTTAATTGCAGTCACGACTTTTGGCAAGTGTATTACATCTCTCAGATGCTTCCCCTTCATGCCTCATTCTGTCCGCCCAGAATGGCTTCAATGTGAATAGGCACAGCGCAATTAGTCAATCGGTACTCCTACCTCTTCCAAGACGTCTGGCCAGTGTGGAAAGTAGGTCAAACATACTCTTAACTGGTTATCTCTTGAGATTACTCTCGTGGAGGCGCTTTCACTAGCGATGGCGAGAGCGCGCAATTTCAGGGCTGCGCCTTTACCTTTTGAACTTTACCTGGACCTCCCATAGCTGGACTCATCTTAATATGAGCACCCGATGCGGTGTGTAAACAATCAGCAGTGGGGTGACGACGGCACACTGGCGTGGTGCTTACCACAACACTCCATCATCTTGCACCATGCCTACGTCAATAGGTGCTTTATAAGGGTAAGGAGATCTATTTATATGGCGCTCCTTTGTCCATCAGCAGCCCAGCCAAGGGGACCGGGACCTCCAATGGCGACTGTCCCTATGCCGGCACAAGGTGTCCATATGCAGCTCTGGCCTGCCAACAGCACTTTCCCCTACCGTTCATTCGCATTCATTGGGACACCCTTTGTACTTTGTCTGCTGTGTGCGCGTGCGTTCACCAACCCCTTTCCCCGGAAAGGTGGCAAGGACACGGTCGTGGCTTTCACCCTGTGGGCTCACTTCACATCATACCCCGTGATCTTCTACGTCAAACGCATCCGCAACATCCGTGCTTCCATCGTTCGCCTGCTGGCTCGTTCGCCTGAGACCCTGGTCATCATTAAGACGGCCAACACCAGCTACAAGTCGATCATCGGAAGCGACTGGCTGGCCAAGCAGCTCGACCAAGTCATGCGGCAAATGATGGCGGGTTTGCAAGTCGTCATTGTGGACGTCTGGGACATGACCGCGGCCCACCGTTTCCCAGATCAGATTCACCCACCCGCCCTGATCATCATGAATGAAATTAGCCTCGTCCTGTCGTACTTGTGCCCGAAGTGAGGTCAAGAAAGCTCACAGCTTGTCGGGGGGGGTTCTCTTTGTGGATCTTCACATCCACGGCTCTTCCTCAACGGGGGCGTAAAAACTCCAGTCCTCCGATTAGCACGGTTGGCCACGTACGATGCGAAACAAGTTCAACATATATGTACAAAATGAAGATAGGTGGAACCCATGGAGGAGAGAAGCTTTTAGCTGTATGACTTCCCAAATCGACTAAATATTCGCGGACTTTATCAGTTGTCGCAGACTATGGGGGCACCGATCACATCGGAATTCGAAAAAACGAAGTGCATTACGACCACACGACAATATTACAAAAATGCGTAACCTGTCGGGCTGCCGTTGAGAATGCAACCATCGCCAACCGCAAACTCACGATTTGCGGAGGGTGGATAAGAGCAGTTTGAATGCACCAGCGTATGGTTTTGCGGTCGTGCCGTACATATGTACGTTGAACTTCTTCCGCACCGCACGTAGCCAAGCTGTACTAAGTAAAGAGGCGTGCTGTGCGGCTCTCCATTGCGTTTTCGGGTTGTGCTACCCGCGTGTCGTCACGGCGTGAAGCTCCCAACACGTGGAGTGAATCGCCGTGCACAATGACACACGCAGGACAGCTAGAAACACACATCGGAGAGCTCGAATGCTTTATTTGGTGGGCTCGATACTTGGAAGGATAATTATTTTAGTAAAAAAAAATAATGTTTCATTATTTTAGTTAAAAAATCATGTTTATTTTTTTTTACTCAGGGTTTTTATTTTCTAAAGCTTTGCTCTTGTTTGTCAAATCCATAGGTTTATTATTGTTATTATGTGACAGACTGTGTACAGCGTCTGTAAACACTGCTTTCCCATATTCTGGAATGTGTTTTCACACATGTCAATATTCTCTTCATGAGAGCATCTGCAATGCTGTCGCATCGGGTTTTATTCCAAGGCGCTTGATCTATACTCAAGAGCCCATGCAGCTTTATTCCAATAACTAAAAATATGAGCACACGGCCCTCAAGCGTGGGTGTGTGTCCACAGTTTAATACTGTCTTTCACACTGTATTGATGAAAAATAATAATTCTGACATGTTTTAATGCTCATAATATGTAACAGATGTCAACTACTGTCACTTTGAAGCCATGCAATAGAGTTACTGTAGGCCTTTAAGTGTCTTTTTAAAAGTTGGCGTAGATTAAATGGTGCAAATGCAATCGACCTCAGTGGAGGAGACTCGTGGCGGACGCTACTGGGCAACTGGAGGCAGTCGCCCTCCAACAACGGAGGACAGAAGAGCGATGCTCGTAACAACGATTGGAGAGCCGGGCAGGTAAAACGCAGCAAGTTGACACAGTGGGGAGCACAGTCAACTTACAACACCTGAGTCTGTCACCGTGGCCAGTTGAGTCTTCCACAACTTTTTCTTTATGGTCTCAAATGGCACTTAGAATCGCGCACTTTCTTGGAAACCCATCTCAATGTGTTTTATTCTTTTCAATGGGTAACAAGGGTCGCAAGCAGTATTGGAAACTTTTTCTGGGACTCGCCTAGGTTGACTCGGCCGTCGCGTCGAGCGAGGTGGGCCCCAGCACGAAGTTCACTACCAAATGCAAAACACCAGCACTCAGCTTTCCCCTTCCTGCTGGAACTCTGCCTTGTACACTCCTAAGACGATACGGGGAAACGCCGCATTCCAACGATGGAGGCGCCATTCACGCACCATCTGCATTCACGATCGTACAAATGTGTTCCCAAGTCCTCGCATGCACCGATTTTCACTCCTCTAAGAGCCTCGCGCAGAATTCTAACTAATAAAGTTTTTTTTTTATATACCCGGAAAAGCCCATTGGGATATGAGAATAGGTTTTCCCCTTTTTTCTGGCAACAAAACAGGTGTTAAGATGTTAAAATACGAAACTGAAACCTTTTACAAGGAATCATGTCTGCATTAACCACAATACTTGTCGTCAGAATGCAAACAAAAAAACCTCCTCTAATAATGATGCATTGTCTTTGAAACTGATTGGTCCACACCAGAGATGGCTTTCTTTCGAGCCTAGTCTCAAACGGTGTTAGACCATTGGGATATTTTCTCTTTTTCTAAAACTGAAAACTGGTCACATATGATAGCTCATTGAAGTGGCTAATCACCATACGTGGGAATGTATAGTCGTGGCCAAATAATCTAAACGTTTGTTTCTAAATGTGGGGGGCAAAACCAGAGTATCACGGGGACTCCAAATAAACAGGGGTCGTCACGGTCATGGTTGAACCCATGCTTTACCTCCTCCATACCAGGCGAGGGAGATTACATCTCACCACCGCAGCCAGATGTTAACTAAATTATGCTAGATTCCCGCTTTTATGATATGAAATTAGAAGTGGAGATAACTTCACAAATTTCAACAGTTGGAGTTTAACAGCAAATCAGAATCCATTATTCCCAGGTTTTAGAAACCACTTTTCTCAGTGGTCAAGGCTCAGAATCTTCTAGAAAGAACTGCAGAAAACCCCATTATTTAATTCCAGAGTGAACGTTTGCAGACTGCCAAGATATATTCTAACGTTAGGAGCCTGTCCAAGGCACCCCACACCACAGCAAACAAAAAAGAATGCCATTTCATGTGACGAGGCAATAAACACACCCTTGACAATAAGCACGGCAAAGCAAATGACATCTATAAATAACGCGATCTAACCCAAAAGCAAATGTTGAGTACAATGGTCATCATATCAACTTAGTTATGAAACCTTGTGCTGGCTTTGATGAACATTGTATATGGGCGTTGATCAAATCCAGTATGGGTCGTCGTCTTTATTAAATGGTGACAAAAAGGTATTTCTACACTTTCAAAACGTTTTATTTTTACAAATTGTAGTTGTACTAAAACATTTAAAAAATGGTTTTAACCTTCATATCTGTACACCATTTAATTGTATTTATCACCGCCTTAAACATGCTCTTCATCTGTGCTTGTACGTGTACAAGGGATTGTATTTATAGAGGTTCGGTGAATGGGATTTGGAGGTTACATAAAGGTGTGGATTGAATGTGGAATGCATTACGTTGTGTTGATGTACGGTCCTTCACATTTGTCTGACAAACCACACCGTTATGTTCCACAGAAAAGTACTATCAGCAAATTTGATCAGAGTACTCGCCATCCTTTTATCGTGGAACTCCGTGGTAAAAGGATGTCGAGTATGTGCAGACACTGATGATTTCATGAAATTATGATTTCATACAGAAATAGATTTTTTCTACATATGTTCCAAAAAAAATTGCGATTATGCACGATTGGATATAAATTACAATACATTTAATCTATAAAAGTATGAACAAGAACATAACTACCCAATCGTTTGTGCAGTAATCACCTGGGAGCGTCGGGAAGACTGACGCACAAACAAGGCTCCTCGTACAGGAGGATGAAACTAAACTTCAGGAAACACACCGGAGGAGGCTACATGCTCTATCCACTGTGACTGTGCGGTCCAGCTGAATGAACGTGCCACCTTTCCCTTTCAGTTGAGTTGGAAGTATAATGACGACTTGGACGCACTTGTCTTGAGATGGTTTCTTTATTAAGGAGCCACGTCCTCACACTCGGACAGGCGGAGACCCCCACTGCAACAGCCCGAGTATCCCGCGCATCTCCATTTTATACGGTCCGAGGCCACGCCCCCATTCCCCAACCTTCTCGCTGGTTCCAGACGCACGCTCCACCAGCACTCTACGGTGTTCTTCCGTGACCTGGCCACTGTCCTATTCCCGATCATTCGCGCAGCCACCAGTCCACTCGTACTGCAGTCTGACTCCGCCGTAATTAACTCCCGTGACCACTAGTCCGCTCACACCGTAGGTTGACTCTACACTGTCATTACAGGAGGAACATGAGAAGGCATGTCACAACTTTAATTTATAACAATTTACTTGATTATTTTCAGTTTTGCTGCAGTCGTCCACAGCGCAACGCACGGATTTTCAGTTTTTGTCGGAAAGAACTTGAGACAGAACCCGTCCAAACTTGATTGTTTCTGTTTCCTTATGTGCTGGTCCATTACAGACAGATACACGAACAAGCAAAACATGATATAGATAGAAGACAAAGATTGGGGAAGCTGTGGCGGTGAGGTTAGCACACTGCGCTTCAGAACCTCACCATCACCCAACCACGCGTTCATTCCCGACCATGCCAACATGAGCGAGAGTGGCAAGGCACCATCTCAACCGGTGCTGGTACCTCCACCCTACCTAACCAACTCGTACGAACCAGTAGGGTGGTAAAGTATTGTAATCAAACCATGACGATCGCCATTAAACGCTAAATCAAGCCGCAGGTGAGAAAAGAGGGGGTTAAGACCCCGTCAACCATGTAATTCCCTATACCGGTAGTTATCAACTGCAGGCACGTGGCAATGTCCCAAGGGTGGATGTTATTTTTCGAATTTGAACACAAAAACGCTTTTCTTGATAAGCGGCCGTCCATGAATGACGTCACGCACTTGGGGAGGTCAGACATTTGTGACGATGTGTGACGGGGGGGGGGTGAGAAATGTGACGTCACTTAAAAATGCGCAACTTTAAATGAATATAGAATTGTTACAACAGCACTCCTACAACATCAGAGTGCAGCGCCACATTAAATACGCACTACAATGACAATAGTTTCAAGCGATTTGAAGCATGTTTTATTTTCAAAATGGAAATATAGTTGGGGGGGGGCAGAGCTTTGTGACGTCATATTTGAGGGGGGTCTGACTTTTTGTGACACCGTTTGACGGGGGGGGGGGGGAGAGTCAAAAATCGTCCAAAATCGCGTGACGTCATTTATGGACGGCCCCTAAGTTTAGTTTGCAAGCCCCCTGGGCTAGACAGAAAAAGATAAGTTTGAAGGGAGGAATGGAAGCAGGTTAGTGCTCCAGGTTCGCAAGAATTGCCAGACAGCAGAGCTACTTGTACACAAACACAGCAGCAGGTATTGAGCAGGTGACAACACACATTCTGACTTGAAAAAAAATAGGTGAATGATTAAACTGCTTCTATTTATAGGAATAGGTTTTACCCTTTTAACTGGCACAAAAACTGACACCTTAATTCAAGGCATCATGTTTGCAATAACCACAACACAAGCAGTCAAAATGGAAACAAAAAAGACAACTCTGATAATAATATACACTGTCCTTGAATTTGATTGGTCCACACCTGAGACAGCATTTCTTAGAGCCTAGTCTCCAAGACGCCTTTTGGCGTCTTCTGGTCCAACACCAATGGAGACTAGGCTCTAAGAAAAGCTGTCTCGGGTGTGGACCAATCAAATTCAAGGACAGTGCATATTATTATCAGAGTTGTCTTTTTTGTTTGCATTTTGACTGCTTGTGTTGTGGTTATTGCAAACATGATGCCTTGAATAAAGGTGTCAGTTTTTGTGCCAGTTAAAAGGGTAAAACCTATTCCTATATCTTGTTTCTGGCAAAGGAGGTCTCATAATGCTTCTATTTAGTTGTTATACTGGCTCACGTTTCCCCAATGTAACTGCTGCTGCAACCATCTGAGGACCCAATCAAAACCATCACCTTGCCATACATAGCAGGGGTTACCAAAAAGATTTCCGAAAATCTTGAACCAACACAAGATCCAGGTTCGCTTCAACAAAGTACACTAAATCCGTGATTTGAGCCCATCTTTGAAGGATGTGATTCCTGACATCCAATACTCTGGTGTCTACAAACTAATTTGTGGATTCA